TTATACAAGCCAGTGGATCGAGTGACTCGCAGCACACTTGTTCTGCATGTAAGTATCTGTAGGGTAGATGTCAAACTTTAGACCCTGTTCCTCTTTTCTTCACCTGGCATATTTCACAGGGAGCTGCAGGGCTGCAGAACTGCACTTGTCATGCTACATAACAGCCTCTTCCTTTTACACTAAGGGGAGGGAATCTGTTGTTAGGACCTTCTACCTCTTTGGTTGTGTTACTAACAAGTGCAGAGTTTTTCTCTGAAGATAAAGCCTTACACTAATCTGTAAGAAGAGCCTTGGAGCATCTTGTCCTACAGCTCTTCTTAGGGGCCCTCAGACCTCTCCTTTCCAGTGCTGCTTATGGCTCTGTTCTTTGTGTTCCTGGTGTCAGGATTTGCTCAAGCACACTCCAGTGAGCCACCCTGATCATCCACTCCTGCAGGATGCTCTGCGGATCTCGCAGAACTTCCTCTCCAGCATCAATGAGGAGATCACTCCTCGCCGGCAGTCCATGACTGTAAAGAAGGGGGAGGTGAGTCTTCCTGCTCTCCTTATTTTCTCAGTTTCTAAATACTGTTGGTGCCTTTTCTGTAGAGCAGACTAGGAAGTTAACACTATTAATTCGTTTGTTGCTAAGATACAGCTTATGCAGTGTCCTTGTACTCTAAAGGAGGTGGTACGGCTTCTCTCTGTTCTCTGTTCAGAAAACAGTTTGGAAACCCAGAGAAGTATGATTAGAGTTTTGTCCTTAGCATTGTTATAATCATTTGTCATATGTAATTTCTATGATGCATATTGCTGTGCACTAAATGGATTTGTATTTTACTTGCAAAGTGAAACTGAATAGGAAACCTGGGAGGAGAAAAAGGTGAGGAAACAGCAGAAATCATGAAAGATTAGGAAAAGCTCTTTTCCAGAATCTTCATTCTCTCCATGAAACTCATTTTTTGCATCCTTATTTCTAAAGAATAATGTTGAACATGGGACTAGGAGGCAAAACAAATGGAATGGGTTGGGAAAGCTAAGGGAGGTTATGGACTTGTAAGGCTCTAATATAACTCTTGTCAGCTCTGCTAAAAGCAGGACTCCACCCAGAAGTTCTAAGGTGTGCAGTTCCTTTACCTGCATGCAGTGTTGTGCAAGGAGGGTGTAGAGCTACAGAATAGTGAAGTCCCTGCATGCCTCAATGGGCTTGATTAATTTACCTCATAATTTCATTAGAAAGCAATTCAGTCCTTCCTGATAAGGAAAGGCCAGGACTGACAGAAGTATTAAGAGGGAGAGATACAGAAGATTGCACAAAAGAGAAGTGCAACTCAGATATTGTGGCAGTGTGCCAGAGACACTGGCTGATCAAGTGACCCAAATTACCCTGTACAAAAACCCTCTCATACAAAGCCCAGGAGATTGTTAAGATACCATGAACCTTCATGATGTATTCCCAAATCCTGTCAGCTAAACATACTTGCTTTTAACTGTTATACTGATTCAGCTGACAAAGATTTGCTGGAAGCTGCAGTACTGGGAATTTGGTGCACTTTGTCCTGCAGGTCGTGCTCATTGTCTTATTTTGCCAACTGAGGAAGCCTGCAGCTGAGAAGAGGAGGGGCTGAGCAATTGGAGGCTGAGTTAGAGGCTCAGACATCAGTCACCAGGGCCTCAGTGATAGTAGATGGCCTCATTAAAGTGGATGCTGATTGAGTTGTAGCAGAAATCGCAGGCTAGACTGCCCCCTCATAGAGGAGGGAGCATTTTGTGTTCTCTAGTTGTCTGTCAGCATCTCAATGAGGGATGGAGGCTTTCAAAGTGTCATGCAGAATCCTAATGAGGTGTCAGAGCCCAGGCAGAGGGGCAGGCTCAGGAGGAGGATCCCAATGATCTCTTTTTGGAGTGATGTATTTGTCAGATCTTAGAAAACAGGAAAGGGAGGCTTGTGAGTAGGTATGTTCACACTCTGAATAGTAATCCAGAGACACAAGTCTGCACGCAGCTACTCTGTGTGGGTTAATGATGGCTGCTCCTTCCTACAAGCTACTCAGCTTGGGGTCATAGCTGGGTTTTGTTTATGCCTGTAAATCTTTGCTTTTCCATTTATCCTTTCCTCCCACTTGCCTTGCTTGTTCTTCCCCTAGGGTGACAGGACAGTGTGCAGTTTACATCTCCTAATTCACTGCTCTCAATGCATAATGCATTTTTTATTTTAATGAATCACCAGCTTGCTTTGAATTTTTTCATTATTTGTCTTCCTCCCATTGAAATTTCCTTGGTCGAAAGGAAGGAGGGAAAACAGCCCTTTCCCTTCATGTATTGCTTAGGTGCTGATCTCAGTTATCTTTTTTCCCCAGTCCTTGCCTTTTATGTGGAATAATTTTTGCCTTTGAGTGCATTGTGGGGAGGAGTCAAATCTCCTTTACCAGCCTTTTGCTCCAGCTCTTTTTTTCAGGATTGCTTTGAACTGGGGAAAGCAGCTAGTTGTTAATCTCCCTAGTGGCAGGCTGCTTAGGAGAGGAGTGCAGGTCAGGAGGGAGTACAGGCTTATCAGCACTGCATTCCT